GTGTGTGTGTGTCTGTGTGTGTGTTGAGAGTTTTGCAAGTTGGTCTGAAACCACAATAAACCTAAACCACAGTGAGAGGGGGTGTGTGTGTGTGTGTGTGTGTGTGTGTGTGTGTGTGTGGGGGTGTGTGTGTGTGTGGGAGTTTTTTCTTTGCCTGTGAAAGAAAGGGGGAGGGGGAGATGGAGGCAGCCGAGCAGTAATTAGTGTTGCCTGTCATCCCAATCTCCATGGTGATGTGTTCTGTATGCCTACACCTTCGTTACATAATCATGGAGGCACAGGAGAGCAGGAGGCATGGCGGTGGGTGTTTCTCAATGTCGAGGACGCTTGCATGGTAGCACATGTCTTCCAAGTCACTTGCTTCAGAAGCGAGGCAAGATATCCTTCCTAGCCTCGGAAAACGAAGAATTGCGGAACAGGCTAACATGTGTGCGTCATATGCGAGGCCCCGCCTTAAATGGAGCGTGATTTCCGCCAAAGATTTGGAAATTGGTCCGTGCGCAAAGCATTGTGGGGATTTTAAGATCGCGGAGTCTACACATGTGCATCCTCGAAATTTCCCGCAACGAAGCACGCCAGCCTCGGTAGAATTCCAAGCATCCTGGACATTGGAACAGTCCTTGGCGGGACTCGATGACCAGACGTAGCATCCTTGAAATAGTGGCTCTGGAGCAGCTTTCCTCGAGTCGACATTGAGAAACACCCAGAGACTGCTGTTACAGCACTTTGAGCAAGCACAAGATCAACCACCAGACACTTGTCACTTCTATAAATAGCCTTAAAGTAGGTGACACAGCAGCAGCAGCAGCAGAGGAGGCACTAACTGCAACTAAAAGAGAAAAAAAGAAGATGCCATAACGCAAGATGTGATACAATTTAAAATCTAATGTAAGAATAGACAATAATTTATCCTCAACACTAGAAGGGGGAAAATACTTTATTTCTATTTCTGCATATAAACATGCCTACATGATACAACTTCATGCGCGCACACATAACATTGGACAGGCGGACTGGGTTAAAATCCATCACAATCATCTATACAATCCACGGGAAATATGAAACTGATGTGCTTCTCCATCACATTTGAATATATACAATAGGCAAATGAGGCTGAAAACATGAATTATGAAAATATTTTAATATTGTTTAACAGATATTTAACGGTGCAAAATCAAGTCGGAGGACAAAATAGTCAAAGGGGACCTATCATGCAAAATGCACTTTTGTACGTCTTTTATACATGAATATGTGTCCCCGGTGTGTCAGGGAACTCAACCCTCTCTCTTTTCCTCCGTACCCAAATCTCTAAAAACGGGGCTGCAACGGAGCTGATTATTATTTGAATTTTTCTGACGTTAGAAAAGGGGTGCTCCGCCTATATGGGCAACTCTCCACCTATCAGGGGAATGAGAGACCGCTCAAAAGCTCTGGAGACGCTGTAGTACATATGCCAGGCCTGTAGGTGGCGCTGCAGTCTGCCACAAAAGCAGAATCAGCCCTTGCAAAAACAGGGCTGGAAAAGAGCAAATAGAGCGAAATGAGGCATGGCTAAAATGCATGATCTGTTTGGTATTTTCAAAAAAAAACTTCACAGACATGTTTTATATAGGTATGGCCCTACAATATATGTTTCAAATATAGCATGATAGGTCCACTTTAAAGAAATTATCCAGAATGTGCTACATACTGTACGTACAACTGTACTTTTACATGATTATCAACCTCTGGGTCAGCGTTTAAACGGAGTCTAGTGAAGACGAAATTAACTTTCCCTTTGTTTGTTAAACATAAGGCCACTATGGTAGACCATAAGGAATATAAGTCACAAGTAAAATAAAGCACACTCCTTCTCTCTGTGGAAACATGTAACAGAGACTCCACGGATCAGACAGACAGAAGTGTTAAGAACAACTCTATCACATTACTGCACACATTGAAGCTCTATTACTCAACATGAGGCACAGGTGGAACTGATGGCATTGCACTGTATGTACTTTTTGATGATGGTACAAAAGATTCTACATGTAATCTAATAGAGTCTACATTTGGTCCTGACTCAACCAGCACTGATGGATCTATTGTCTGCAGCTAATGTGATTTGCAGACAATACTGCTCCATTGATTTTGTTTTCTTCTTTTGTTGAACTATTTTATCGTACAAGGATTTACAAACAATGTGTTGCCTGAGCATCATTCATACCATGCTGTGTCGACAAAATATCTGCATGTTGTCCCTGTGGTCAGTGTTAAAAAGCAGTGGCACGACAGAAGGCAGAGGCCGGATGATCGACAAAGAAATCTGGGTCTATTTCCTAATCCCAGTTCACAGTTACAGTTTTGCTGTACAAACCCATATTCACAAGTGTTTGGGTGTTCTTACCATAGACTGTATATATATATATATATAAAGGGTTCTTACTGGACAGTTAACAACTTTGATGGATTAAAGGCATTAATCCCAGTGACAAAGTTAATTTTATTTAGTTCTAAAAAACTGACTGTACATATTACTTCAAGCAGCCGCTTAGCAACATCTCAGTAGCAAAAATGTTGCCATATGGTTAAAATAGACTTTCTTCAGATTTAAACCCATGAAAGTCTTTCTCCGTAATATTACATATTTAAGTATCTTACTTATCTTACTAGTAATGACCAACTAAAGTTAGTATAACGATCCAAAACCTCAGCAGATCTGCTTCATCAAGACCCTGTGGTTTGATTTGACCATGTTGGATGACAATGCCCAAACTACCCAGTAACTAGCATTAGACTCAAATGCTCAATCCTGATTAGTTCATGGACATACATGACATCACACTATCCAACTGGCCCCTCCCACTTCAGTCTATGTAAGAAAAGCGCAAAGAAATAAACACAGAAATCGGTGATATGAAATAACCAAAATGTTCGAACGATGGCAGTAAATTGTGTGTTCATGTAGGACCATGTCTGTCATAACAAAAAGATAATTGAGAAAAAGATATGGCTGTGTTCAGAATTATCGTTTTACTTTTAGTATGTACTGCAGCTGCCCATACAAATGACCTACAGTTCATTGCAGTTTGCATACAATTGGGACACAGTACTTCACATCATTGCACCTTGAACTTCGACCCTTTTGCTCATATAAAGTATCCTCTGTGTAAAGGATTGTGGGTAAGGATAGCCAGAAAAGTATGCTGGCTTGCATACATCAAAATGTGACTTGATGGAGTATGATATCCATGTATTTTTGGCATAATACATCTGACATGGTACATACAAAATATGTTTTCCTGGCATACTTAATAGTATAGTTGTATAGGTATTTGTCTTCAGGTCCTTTAAGACATGTTCACTAAATGATTGGCATGTTAAAGGTAGTCTGTTTTTAAAGAATAGTTTACAATGGGAGGTCATGCAACACATGCAAAATGCTTTGAGACATGTTAATGAGTGTATGAGTGTAATATGGTAAATATGCTACGCAACTGATTTTCTACCACAGGATTTAGGATTTATGACGCAGCAAAAAAAAAATCGAAGAAATCCTGTTTTGAATCAAAATCCACCAGTTTTTTCATGCACTCTACGTACTGTACGCACTCAGTCGGACGCACTCTACGTCCGACTCTACGTCCGACTCTACGTCCGACTCTACGTCCGACTACGCATGTAGTCAGATGAGAATTCCTGCTCTTTCTCCTTTTCGTGGTCAATCAGCATCAGGTCAGTGTTGTGACCTCCGGCTGAGCGTAGTTTCCTGTGGCAGCGAGGAGGTCTTTACAGCTCTCTGTAAGGAAACAAAGGACAGAAAACAATCAAACAAAGTCACTTATGAGCATGAAAGACCTAGAAAGTGTTTCCTAGGAAGTGTATTTAAACATCACCGCTATATAGAAGCTGTTCAGACTGAACTCGTCTCTATAAACTAATCAATATTATTATTATTATTATTTTATTATATAAAAATCCTACTAATTTAATTGTTTAATCTATAAAATGTCATACAATTAAAGTTTCTTTAACATTAGAATACAATTTACATTAATATAATCTTCTCAATTTAAGAAGCAGGAGCCAGCGAATTATCTTTATTTTCTGATAAATTATGTAATAATTGTTCTTTGTAATTTTCCATTTAAAGTCTCCTATTATACTATCTTTAGGCATATATTATAGGTCTCAGATATATACAAATATATAAAAAACCTGTCTATGAATAGTTTTGCTCAAAATACCAAACAGATCACCCATTCTAGACATGCCTCATACCCCTCTATTTCAGCCCTGTTAGAGAAGTGCTGGTTCTGGGTCAGTAGGTTTAAAAAAAAAAAAAAAAAAAAAAAGCTTACGCAGGAGAATTCTACCGGCAGATACTCAGCTAAATGCTGCTGTGATTAAACACCATATTATGTTCCACATCAAGGATTATTTCTATCAGAAGTTTCTGATAGGGCCGTTGGCGTAAAGCCAGCCCACATTTAAGATATTACGTCATATCGGCAGCAAATCTGGATCAGCTCCGTTGTACCCCCGTTTTTTTTAGATTTGGGTACGGAGGAAAAGAGAGAGGGTTTTATTTCCTGACACTTTGTGTGTATTTTGCATGATAGGGGACCTTTAAGGAGCAATTGATAAATTGACTTATATTTTACTTCGACAGAGAGATCCTACAGATCTAAAAGTCAGAGGACAGCAGGACGCTTTTGCTATGAACACCCATGTTGTTAATGGAAACCCATTAGTAGCAATCATCCAGACGAGTCACCTGGGAATATGAAGCCTCCTCCGAGCTAACAAGCCTTTTTTCTGGTTGTCAGAATTTCTGCCTGCCGCTTCCTCTTAGCAGCACACAACAGTTTGCCTCACCATTATGCTCTCATCAGGACAAGAGCTGGTGGTTGTCACATCTCTGAGGCAATGGGCTTTCCACCAGGACAGCGTTTTCATTTATAAATTGTGACAGCGAGTGTTAACACTGTCTGTGATTCCCTGTGACAGTCATAATCACTTCAAACCCACCAGCATTTTGTTCCCACTGCAGGGCGGGCGACCATTTCCTGTCACTGATAATCATCTTAGCATCTTCAGACCTGCTGCATCCATCTGTCCTTCTCTCTGCTTCCTGCCATACTGCTCTGGTGAAATGTGATCCATACCTTATATCCTGTAACCCTGAAATTAACCTTACACCGTCCCCTATGGGCATGGCTTCGTAGAGCAGTGCCACTGAGTCATATCTGTCTCCTGTGAGCAGCTCAAAATGGCAGCAATCACATGTTGCATGTTGTCAAGAAAATATGAGTTCTTGATTTTGAATCACAACTCAGCCACAGTCATTTTCCACACTGATAGCAAACAATGAAAGACCACTTGAGACATTTTTCCAGGTAATGTCGACTAAAATGTGTTGTGAATGTGTGATTTTTTTCCCTGTTATACAATGGGATATCATTATCCACATCCTCACCAGACACAGGGCTCGGGATTGAATTACCCCCTCCCTCGCTCTCTCAAAGATTCGTTTTGAGCTGTTCTGGCTTTGCTCAGCCTCCCATTGCTTTTGTCTCTGCCATCAGAAAAAACGTCACTTGGCAATTGCATGAGCTGACCAGATAATTTAGCGTATTATTAGAGAAGTCAGCGTGGAAGGAGACTGGTGATGATTTCTTCGTGTTTGTGTTTTTCCCACTGTGACTGTGATGCTGTAAATTCTACATTGACGTATTATTTCCTACCCTGTGCATAACAGGTCCACAAATACCCCTTCTCGTGTATCTGAAAGATATAACTGATTTTTCTTTATATGCATGTGACAACATGCTATTAACCGACACCAATCTACAACACTCAACCCATTCAGGGATTCACAAGGCTTTCAACAAACACGTTTAAATACAATTTGCTTGTAATGGGCTGTCAAAAAAAGTGGGGGGAGTATATAGTCTCATAGGAGCCAAGCTACAGTGAGTGCACCCCATTTATGTGTTTTTTTTGCCTCGACAGTGATGCGCTAATGAGCTTTGGTAGAAAAATGCATCCCGGTAAAGTGCAGTTTTGCAGGAAAACACCTTTAGTGTCGTTGGACTGTTTGCAGATGAGTCAGGATGTTGACCGGGTGGGATGTGAGCTCAGGATGTCATGAATGAATCCACGACTGCCAAATATAGAGACTCTTTTCCCGAGGGGCTTTTAGGTACTTAGGGAGTCTCAGATGTGTGATCCAGCAGCCATTCAAGCAGAGAGCGATGGCAGGCTGACAGCGGATATCAATAAAGAGACCTAAAAAGGGGCTTCTTTGTACCCATGCTACCAGTTTCACACAACTTATCAATAGTCAAATACAGAATATTGGTGTTGAAGGTCAGAAATCTATAAATAATCCCATAGACATAGCATCACAAATACCTATAGTTGAACCTGAGTATAGAGAAACCCACACTTGGGTTAGCAAACACTATGCCATTTTTGCAATTTGTTGTTTGTACAAATTGAACAAACAATATATAACAGAAGTTCTAAATCTATACAGATGCTGGTAGGCAATCTTTTTTTTTTTACCCTCAGACAAACCAGGCTAGCTGTTTCTTCCTGCTTCAAGTCCTGAGCAATCAGAGATGGGAGTGGTATCAATCTATCATCTCACTAGTACCTAAAACGTTAAAAGTGCCTTAGTACATGTTTTCCCAGAGTGTAGTGGAATTAAACCAGTGCTCAGATCAGATATGTGCTGTCACTTACCAGTATGGGCGTTGGAGTCACCAGCGGTCAGGAGGAAGCAGGTGGCCTCCTTGTTAGTCTTGTCTCGCCCTCTGGAGCACCGCAGGGTCCACTTTTCACTGGGGGACAGCGGCTGGGTCAGGCTGCAGCCTTCCTCCTCTGAAAGGGCCACATTTGCATCCCCGTTCTGCTTGGAGTCTGACAGGAGGACAAAAACACATAGTGATGTAAATGCCAAAGCTTTTACTGAGAGCCCGAGTGCCCACACAAAGGCAGAGGTTTGTGGCATAAAATCTGTATTTGCTGTGATGAAATTCAATTGTCTGAGATTTTGTAAGGAGTATTTTGATCGTGGTGTGTTAACTGTCTATGTGACAAATAATGGTTCCACTGTCAGACAGTCTTAAAGCATTTGGAAAAATAAGAATTGATAGTCTAATTATGTTACTGTTTAACTCACATATTTATAATTGATTAAACAAACAGGAAGACGAAAATAATATTTTGAAATCAAAATCCCGATAAATAACAACACTATTTTAAAAAGGTCACTTCAATTAAATTACAAATAAATAACGTTCTTACTTTCCTCTCATGATATCTAGCCATGCAGCCATTTTTTTATTTGCCATTAAAATGTCTGCCAAAGAACAACTAAGGTGGATGCTATAGTGTTTGTGCTGCTAACACTTAAATATACATTTTAAATAATAGTTCAAACATTTCTTTCCAGCAACAATGTTCCCTTTACTCTAGATCCTCCACAGGAAACACAATATAATATGAAACGAAAATATTTTTGAGTAAAAGAACCTCCAATGAAGGCTGTCTGAGTAACCAAACACTGTTTCTATATTGAAGACATTACTGTTTACATTTAAAAAAGTACATGTAAGCACCACACATTTCTCTAATTAAATCCTGAGCAAATAAAAACAGAACTCTCTGCTTGTCCAGATACCACAGAGGGAAATCGAGAGCATGTTCCTGTAATTTGGGTGAACTGACCCTTTAATATTGTGTGCTGACCTGAGCGGTTCCTGCTGAAGTTCTCCTCGGCGGCCAGCGGACACGTGTCGCTCTGAGTGCTGTCTCTGTGTGAGTTTGTTTCCGACTTCACAAACGAGGCAGAGTCAGTCGGAACGTCTGGGTTCGGGTTGTGCTTCTTCTTCTTTTTCGGCAGCTTCTGTTTGGCCATAGCCAGCGAGTAGTACATCCCAAAGTTATTGACGATGACGGGCACCGGCATGGCGATGGTCAGGACCCCTGCGAGTGCACACAGAGCCCCCACCATCATGCCCAGCCAGGTCTGTGGGTACATGTCTCCGTAGCCCAGCGTTGTCATGGTGACCACCGCCCACCAGAAGCTGATGGGGATGTTCTTGAAGTGTGTGTGGTTGGAACCCGTGGGGTCGTTAGGCTGGGCCCCGATGCGCTCAGCGTAGTATATCATGGTGGCGAAGATAAGTACACCGAGTGCCAAGAAGATGATGAGAAGCAGGAACTCGTTGACGCTGGCCCTCAGTGTGTGGCCCAACACTCGCAGGCCCACAAAGTGCCGCGTCAGCTTGAAGATACGGAGGATCCGAACAAAGCGCACCACTCGGAGGAAGCCCAGCACGTCATTGGCAGCTTTGGAGGACAGACCCTTCAGGCCCATCTCCAGGTAGAATGGCAGAATGGCCACAAAGTCAATGATGTTGAGTGTGTTCTTGATGAAGACCATCTTGTTTGGGCAACAGACGACGCGCACCAGGAATTCAAAAGTGAACCAGACCACACAGATGCCCTCCACCACAGTGAGGATGGGCTTGGTCACCATCTCCGGCCTCTCCACTTTCCGTGTGACGTTTCCCTCGACAATCTGCACCGTCCGGTTCTGCAGCTCGTTGAAGGCTTCATGGGTCTCCAGGCAGAAGGTGGTGATGGACACCAGGATGAAAAATAGAGAGGCAAACGCCACTCCCTAGACAGGACAGATAAAACACTTAGTTTAAGGAAACCTATTGTGAAAAATGCACTTTATGATGTCTTTTATACATAAATATGTGTCCCCGGCGTGTAAGGAGATTCACAAAGTGTCAGAAAATACAACCCTCTCTCTTTTCTCCTTACCCACATCTCTTAAAATGGGGGTACAACGGAGCTGATCCAGATTTGCTGCGGTCATGACGACATTAGTCAAATGTGGGCTGGCTTTACGCCCACGGCCCTATCAGAAACATTGCTGTATCAGAAACAATGTGTGACTTGTTTTGGAAGTAATATGGTATGTGTTTACATTAGCAAGCATCGCTAACACGCAGAGCAAATGCTGTACTGGAGAGAGTATAAAAAAAAAGGTACTCACATGTGGTAAACCCGCGAGAGAAAAAGCATTTGAGCTCCATACCGTTTTTAAAATAATCCTTGTGGTTTGGAACATAATATTGCGTTTAATCACAGCAGCATTCAGTGGAGAATCGGGGTATAAACCTCTCTTCACAGAGGAGAGCTTATGCCTGCTCCAAATGGGCGTGGCCAGCAGCAGCTCGGCAACATTTAAAGCTACAGACCCAGAATCAGCACTTTAATAACAGGGCTGAAATAGAGGGGTACGTATGGAGGCATGGCTAGAATGGGTGATCTGTTTGGTATTTTGAGAAAAACATACATATATATATATATATATATATATATCTGAGACCTATAATATATGCCTACAAATAGTATAATAGGAGAAATTTAAAAATATCTCATGCCTTCCGAACTTGTACTTTTTAATCATATTGTGCAAAGGTTTCTATTAAAACTTGAATGGTTTGCTCTCCAAGAAAACTATAGACACCTGAAAAAAAATCTGTTTTCCAGAACCACTGGCACTGAGCCTCATCCTCACACCTTCAAGGAAATAATTCAGTGCTGTGATTGTCCACTGCCTCTTGAGTTTAATATTAATGAGTGAATATTATAATATAATAACCTTTTTTTTTTTTTTTGAGAAAACAAACCAATTCCAAAACCAATTACTCCCATGAACACAGAGCCTGAATCCTGCAAAAATAAGACGTGGTTTCATTAACATGGCGCCCCGTGCAAAACTCGGACAGCAGGGGGTGCTCACAAGGAGCCAACACTTAATAACTACGCCAACCATAGGGCTGCTGTGTGAGGTCTCACATACATGAGTCTCAGGATTCAATTTTGTTCTGAAAAGGAGTTTTTGTGTTTGGATTCACAAGAGTAGGAGAGGGAAGTGGAGAGAGGAGCAGAGCCCGCTGACACAGAACAGAGAGCGATAACAAAAGAGATAAAAGACTCTGGACAACGAACTGAGTCATGAGAGACTTCCTGTCACATTCAGTCCTGCTGTTGATTTTATCAGCCATGTTTTGGTGAAACAATGCACTCATTGATGCCTCTGATCAATATCATTTAAATCTAGAGCTGCAGCTACTAGTCGACCAATTGATAAGTTAATACAGAAAAAGAAATCGCCTTCTATTTTGATAATAAATTGATTGTTAATGTAATTTTCAAGCGGAAAAGGCAGAAAATGTTGTTTTCAGTCAATCAAATATAAAGATTTACATTTTAACTTTTTGAATTATATTGCACTGAATGTCTTTGGGTTTTGGACTAACATTAAAGTATTTTCATATTGCATCTACCTACCGTAAAGAGTTATTTAAAAACATCACCTTGGACTTTGACAAACTGCAGTTCTTAATTTTCTGACATTTTAAAGACCAAATGAATAATCAATTAATCAAAAAAAAACAAGCAGCAGTTTCTTTGATAATGAAAAAATGTACAGCCCTAAATAAAATAAATAATCTCTCTAAAAATCTAAATACAATGACGGCTGAGTCAAACCACTTTAAAAACCAATGGGAGGTACATTGAACAATGCAGCACGCATGGCTTCCACCTGATCAATCACAATTGCCATGGCTGTCTGTCTTTGTGTTAACATTGTGTGCTTACTCATACCCGATCTGTCTTCATTGTTTACTAAAGCCTGGACAAATTGCAAAGCCTCTCAAACCTTTCTCCAATCTTTCAGCTGGATAAATATGTACCTGTGCCATGCATGCACTCAGCTATTTTCCACCTCCGGGGGCCTCTCAAATATCAACCGGCTTTAGCGTTTGGTTCTTTGATTAGAATAAAACAAATAAACCATGTGATGTTTGACACTAATCCGCTGCGAAACAAATTAAATAAAGTTTTGGTAGACAAACCTTCATCAGGCTATTTTGGAATTAATCAAATGTAATGTGAGGAAGGCCTTTGTACTGAAGCATTGTTATTGAATATCTCTTACTGGAAGTGATGAGGATAGTGTGTGGGAGACTTTAGTGCTGTATTGTCAACCTATACTCCTACGCACCTGTTGATCTACAGGTGTGCATACGTTCTGCTCTTTACTATGGACAAACAACATAACTAGGATCAGGCGAGGTTATGGGGTTTAGAGAGTTGGGAGAATAGCAGCTAATTTTCAAAACAGCAATACTGCACACATGTAAATATATACGATAATAAATATCTCTGTAGTGCACCCAGATAATGTGCAGGTTATTTACCATGACAACCTTACTCCGCTTTGTCCCTGCAGAGCTCTGAGGCCCTCGCAGCTCTGTTCCCCGAGAAGGTGAGGGTTGAGCAGAAGGACAAGAGGGAAGACGGTGAAGCCTCGACTCTGCCCCAGGAGGAGATCAGAGTCACGTGTCCCTGAACATCACCAAGGACAGCTGAGTCTCAGGGAACATCACAACAAGCCAACCAGTAAAGAGAAACTACCGGAAACAGCAGCACAGAGCTGACTTAGTCATACATACAGCATACTGCCGCAGCTGAAGACAAAGATTGAGAAAAGTAAATGAATGTCACTAAACTTCAATATCAGTATACAAAAATGTTTTTTTATTTTTTTAATGTAATCTGCTATGCGGTAACTTTAGCTGTCAGATGAATGAGGTGGGATAAAATAAAAAATAAAAGTTACATTTTCCCTTTCTTTTGTGTTGTTGTAGTGTAGTCGTCTAAAAGTAGTATATAAGTAAAGTGACTGTAAATTGTACATGAGATATACTTGGTTAGCATTAGCAATGCTCAGTTGTCTACATTTTTGAAATAATAATTATCAAATCTTGTTGAAGCTTTACATCCCGCATCACTGAGCAGGGGGTCTACTGATGTCTTACTTGCTTTCATCTGAAAATGTGTTTTCAGTAACACTGGATGTTTACTAGCCTTTATTCAATGAAAATGAATCAAGTACTAATTTACATTCAGTGTCTCCAACACACACTGATTCAAAGTCTGTTTTCATTGTGTCCTTTCATCCATGATTTCCCATTGAAAAGCTGTCCAGACAAAAGAGCCAGATATAAAGTCAGCACCAGATAATTAAGGTGGGCTTCACTAAACGAGAGGGATCAGCCTCTGTTGAAACATCTCAGCAGGACCATTTCCAAAGTCAATTAATAAAAACATTGCCCCAGCTTTTCATCAATCCACTCTGGTCTCCACTGCCTCACTGTGGGTTCTTCACTTGTTGCACAATAGACCTGGATAATGAATAGGAGCCCAGTGTCAACAATGGTAGACAAAGTGTTGATGAGCTGGTCAGACATGTATTGATTGTAAATCTTGTGAAAATAAGGAATTGGACAGATCTGATCCAACAGTGCAAATAACTCTTTTCTGGCCAGAACAGAAGGCTTGTTCTTCCCATTTAACAAAAAATATCTGTCAGTCATTTCGACAGATTAATTGTCTTTTGATCTGCAATCGTTGTCCCTGACACACTGAGCGGTGCAAGCGGCTACTTTTTTTTACCTGACGATCAAATGGACAGACAGATAAGAGACTAGCCAGTGACGGGGGACATTTATATTATGCTTTATCTATCTTTTATTCAAAGTTACAGGCAGTCTTGTGGCCATTCAGGCATGACAGGACGAGTGCCGATTTAAGAACTGACGTTAAGATAAGATAGGACGTTTAGGAATGCTTTAAGACTGATAGTATCTTTGAAACTTAGGTCAAGATAGTTCAAGCAGATAGGATATTTGTAATGTCACTTTCCCGCCTGCGAACACAGCAGATTGTGTTTATTAAAATGCATAACTGTAGTTTCAGTTCAGCGAAAGCCTAAAAAAATGTGTCCATTGTGTCAATTTTGTCCGGCTGTTTTATCATCGATCATATTTCTGTTACAGTCTAAAAGATATATTTGTACATTATGAAATTCTTCTGGCTTAAAAGACAAAGCACACAAGGGACTCCTTCAGTAAGACAACAAACCAGAAGCCACCAAAATAGAAAGGATGAGTCCTGCTGTTGTTCAGATGATTGTGATGAGCCCAACGGGCCGTGACAGTGTTCAGTTTATTCAAATGCCAAACGGTTAACCCCAGAAGTAAACAGAGCTGGTATCTGCGGCCAGGGGCAGCTCCGCAGGGAAGATGCCGGAGGTCTAGGCACACACTACGACAATTTTCTCTGCTCATAAAAGGCTCAACAAAAAGGTCTCGCAATAACACATCACAGCTTGACCTCAGACCTGCGTATCTGTCGGTGGCTGCACTGCCACTTCTCTTCCTCCAAGTATTTAGTCTTGTTGTAGTAGTAGTGTTTGTCTGTGGCTATTCTAGTTATTTGCATGTGTCCGTGTATACAAGTTGATTCCAATGAATCTTGCAGCATTTAAATGTGTCTGTAATGTTTATTTAAGGCCTGACACAAAGGGATACCACAACATAATGTTTACAGCTCAATGGTGGAGACTTTAAACACAGTCAGTGTTGGACTGGTTGCCATACTGTTTCTGTTCCACCACAGTGGTTGTTCACAATGTTCACACAAAGCTTTCTTTTTTATTCATTTCCTGGGAATGTAAATACAGCCTCTCCAATCTTCCCGAGGGGTTAAAGTGTATACAAGCACTACGTGTGTATGACATTACTTCCTACATCT